TGGAAGCAGGATTGCCCAACCTTCCTTCCGAGGAGTGGCTGGTGGGTTTGAACCGCCAGCCGTCTGGCTAGCAGGCAAGTGTCTTAGCCACTGTGCTACCAGAGCTCCCCCAACTCATTTTAAGCCAAATTTCCATGTCACATTATCCTTTAAATGTATATGCAAGTTACATTATAAGAAAGCAAGAAAGAACATTATTTCCAAGTACCAGACTGTAAGCTGTTCCATTAAAGTGGTCACGAAATTCTTTTATAAGTAGAAAAAAAGTTTGAGGCTACCTAATTTATCTTTTTTCAATATTTCATATTTTAAGTTTTTTTCCCTCAAAAACTTGAATCTAAATACACAACAGACTTGAAAGCAGGCACTCAAACAGACCCTTGTGCCCCTGTGTTCACTGCAGCACTATTCACAGTAGGAAAAACGTGGAAACAACCGACATGTCCATCAACAGAGGAAGGGATAAAAATTACATGTACAGTAGAGCCATACAATGGAATATTATTCCGCCGTAACAAGAAGTAAAGTTCTGATACACACTACAACATGGATACGTCTTGAAAACATTATGCTGAGTGAAATAGGTCAGACACAGGAAAATACTTTCTGATCCCACTTCCAGGAAATGCCTAGAACAGGTCAATGCAGAGGGACAGACACTTATTAGTGGCTATTGCTTCACGGGTATTGAGTTGCTGTGTAACAACTGAAATGGAAACACTTGCAAACAGATACCTAGTGACTATGGTTGAATAGCGTGGTGAATATAATTAATTATATGTTGAATTGTACACTGAAAAATGGTTAACAATGAAAAATGTTTTGATATATATATATTTTTTACCACAGTGAAATTTCAAACAGCACCAAATTTCAAATGCAACTAAAATCCAACTCTTAACTGGGCAAATCTGCTGCAAAAACCTCTTGGAAGTGTTCAAGAGCAAAGATGTTACTTTAAAGACATAGGTAAGGCTGGCCATGGTGTTTTTAATCGCCTCACGTGCGTGTGAAAGCTGGACAATGAATAAAGAAGCTCACAAAAGAATTGATGCGTTTGAATTGTGATGTTGGTGAGGAATATTGAATGTACCATGGATGCCGGAAGAATGAACAAATCAGTCTTGGAGGAAGTACAGCCGGAGTGCTCCTCAGAAGCAAGAATGACCGGACTTTGGTCATGTTGTCAGAAGGGACCAGTCCCTGGAGAAGGACATCATGCTTGGTAAAGTAGAGGGTGGTGAAAAGGCAAGACCCTCAGCAGGAGGGATTGACACAGTAGTTGTGATAATGGGCTCAAGCATGGCAAATATGAGGATGGAGCACAATTAGGCAGTTTTGTTCTCGTCCACGGGGTCACTGTGAGTCAGAACAAACTCAACGGCACCTAACAACAA